CCGCCTTCTCAGCGTCCCGGCGGGCTTTCTCCTCTTCTTTTGCTTGTTTTTGCAATCGCTTCTTATCTTTCTTCTTTTGCGCTTCCCGGGCCTTTTTGGCATTGCGCTGCTCGTTTAACGTCTCCTCTTGGAGGAGCTCGTCAATTAGCTGTTTCTGGCGTTGTTCGGCGACTTTCTCTCGATATGCCGTCATGACTCGTTGCTCAAACATTCGGGCGGCGAAAATCTGAAACATCCGTCGGCCTTCCTGCATGCGTTGTTCCTCGGTCATGGCATCCTATTAATATTTAGTAAGTGGGTCTGGACAATACGAGATTGTAGACGCGTACCATTTCGTCCTCGTCGAATTCTTCCTCCTCTTGACTATCATAGTCCTCATCGTCCTCTTCATCATCGTAGTCCTCATCGTCTAAAGGACCATGATTATGCCCATGGAAGGACTGATGAGCAGCAGCTATTCCGTACTGTGTATCTTCCTCTCTTTGCATTCTCCGTTCAGCCAATTGCTCCATCATGTCGATGAAGTGTTTGCCATCGTTTTTCAGGAGATCGTCTGCAACTGTAAGAATTCCATCTGGTAAAAATGATTAGTATCCAAAGTTAGACGTCAAACCGTCATGACGTTGGTCAGGTGATCTTGTTGCATACCTTTCACAGTTAAACTGTTACCAAATGCAAAGAAATCAGCCCGGGCTGCTCGAGCTTCATCATCTTCAAGGTCCTCGTCGCTGTACAGCTCTTCGTCATCCTCTTCCTCCCCATCGTCTTCCTCTTCCTCTTCCTCTTCCTCTTCTTCGTCGTAATCCTCTTCTAAATCCTCATCGTTGTCTTCGGGTAGCTCCTGGACTCGGCTCCGCGACGGATGAAACTGGCCGTGCGTCCTAGTATGCTGCCCTGGGGATCGAAGGGGTGGTTGATAAAGTCGAGGAGGAGGAATGATGGGAGCTCCTTCGTCGAATGCGCCTTGATTGTTATTCGCGTATTGTTCCAGCTCCTCGTAGTATGCGTCGTAGAGGACCTCTAGCTCTTCTTCAATCGCGGTTCGTTTCCGTCCACAAACTGTACAACTGCAGGAGTGCTTTTGCTGTTCTTTCATCTTCTTCAGAACAGCATCCTTTTCCACTTTGACAAGCTGGCGTCGTTCTTCTTCGCCGAGCTCGAACCAGAAGGTCCTGATATTTTCGCGTTCTTCGAGAGTTGACTGGTTCCAGATGCTGCTATTTTTCATAGGTTTTCCAGTGAATCGACTGATGTATGGCAAGGATTGAGGAGGCCGAGGAGGGTGGGAGAAGGTGGCGGATGGGGTTGAAAGCGGAGTGGAGCTGCGATCAGCATGATTCTGGGAGTTGGATCGAGATTTCCTATTTTTCTTCCTCTTTGAGGTCTCGCCTGAGGCAGTGTGGTGGTCATCGGGTCCGTTCATCGTTGGTGGTCCGCGGCGATGTTCTGGTGACGCATATCCGTAATGATCACCACTTGCTGTGTGGTGGTGATCATCGAGGTCATATTCGTGGTCTTCATCGTAGGAGCGCTGTTCATCTGTTGCTAGCAAGTCCGCATCTCCGGAGGCATAAGCGTCGGGATGTTCCGCAGCTAAGCGAGCAGCTTGTTTCTGTCGGCGCTTCTGCTTCTTGCGATTCACAGAAGGCGCAGATGTAGCTGTCGATCCGGTCGATGTGGTGCCTTGAGGACCCCGCGCGTGGGTATCGCCGTTGGTTGCTGGAAGCGGAGTTGCTGACATATGGGTCGCCATGGTGGAGGTGAAATAAGCTGTAGGGGCTGCCTCAGCAGCATACTAATACCGTCAGAGCAAGCTTTGAGTTAGAAGAGCAATGTCAGAGAAGGTGGGTGTAGAATGAGGAGGAAAAGCGGAGAACGGAAGCGCCAAAGAGCCCTACCAACAAAGCTCCGATGACTCCACGATCTGATGTTAACTTACCGGAATTATTCCCCTTGGCGTATTCACGCACAAAGAGTCAACCGTGTTCTTTGTTATTTGCTTAGAAGACACTTCCGTAATGGCAAACGTGAGGGGTGAGATAGGATAAGGACACGGGAGGAGGGGGGTTGAAAGACAATGATCCCGGCGGGTCACGACGTGTTCTGCGCTTCGGATTAGCTCCAGGAGCACTGGAAAACCAGCGGAGAAAAACAAACAATGAGTTAAAGTCAGGAGCAACAACCTTGGAAGATATCAAGACTAAGTGAGTGCCGGAGCAGAAGGTACGACAGATCGAACGCCAATGAATGGATGGAGTGATGGGCTTTCCAGCCTTCTGGCTGGTTGTCGTGCCGCCGCAACGGGATAGCCGCTGCAAGCGAGCCGGTGCCTCAATCGTCAGGCTCCAATCCCAAATTGTATGCTTTAAGAGGTAGTATGTGGTATCTTGATGCTAAGAAGATATTTCAAACTTTCCACAATAGTAAAGTTTAGATCCAAGCTAATTTAAATTCTTCAGCCAGGGTTTTCTTCCTTGGTTACAAAACTAAACAAACTACATGTCACTGCTTCATGCTGATCACCACATTGTTTTATATGTCACATGATCATTGACATGCCCGCCTTCGATCTGCCCACAATATCTCCCTCGACATTAGGCGGTGAATGGGTAAATGGGGCAAGGGGAAAACAAGTATGAGCGCCTCTGATCCACCGAGCTGGTGAGACACGGAGAGCGCTAATCAAAAATATCTCCCAAGGTCATGAAACAAGAGAGTGTGATAAAAAAAAAGGATCCCCATAGGATGAGACTAAAAAGGATATCCATCTTTCTATTAATATGATATTAGTACTAACATGTGTACTCGGAGCCTTAATAAATACCTAAGGTGAGTACATAATTGTAAGCGTCTTCCCCTTCATCTTATCTTACTCTTCAGCTTCAGCCTCTTTTTTCTTTTTTCCCCCCCCAAACTTCCACTCACTCAATTTCTACCCTTTCTCCTCTCTCTTTAAACCCCCTATCATTTCGAGGTTACCTAGGGATTCTCGTGTCTACGTCAAAAAAACCCCTCCAATCATTAGCCTCAGCCGCAGCGCGACCTTTCCACCCACCCCCTCCCCCAACAACTCGTCACGTCACTGTTGGGTGCATCTTCAGGCCACCCATTCATCTTCAAATTCTCCCTGTAATCCCTTTGGGCCACTATCTGCCCAGGGCTGGTCTTTCCTTACTATCCGTGTCCGCCAATTCTCGTAATCAGTTGAAATCTGACTCGGAACTCCGCGTCATCTCGCTGATCCACAATACCCTCCGCTCTCCCATTACCCTTGTGTATCACGAAAGGGTTTTGCAACCTTCACAATGTCGCAACAACAGGATGAGAATGTGATGCGAAGGTATGTGCAGCCCATTTTTGGATGTGATGCCTTACTTCCCCCATGCGGTATGGCAAGGAGACTATGCAAGATTGGAAATGGCAGCCTAGCACTTCCGATACCATTGCCGGTGGGATTGAAGGCAAAATGGTGTTCGCATATACTAACTTGACTCTCTTGATAGGAAGCTTGTGATCATTGGTGATGGTGCATGTGGAAAAACCAGTTTACTCAGCGTCTTTACCCTCGGGTACTTCCCAACTGTGAGTTTAATCCTTAAGCAGCCCCTACAAGAGGGCCCTAGAAGCAGAGTCAAGTGGCTAACATGTCATTTTATCACAGCATTATGTTAGTACTCTCGACCTCGATATACCCCGTCCCAACCACATCTCTGACATCTCCCCCGTTAGGTACCAACAGTATTTGAAAACTATGTGACGGATTGTCGTGTCGATGGCCGTTCAGTCCAATTGGCTCTGTGGGATACAGCAGGACAAGAAGACTATGAGCGCTTGCGACCATTGGCTTACTCGAAGGCCCATGTCCTCCTGATTGGATTCGCGATGGATACTCCAGATTCGTTGGAGAACGTGAAACACAAGGTTCGTTTCAGATAATTTCCAGAATCGGCAGTGAATCGGCAATGATACTGATCTGCAGTATAGTGGATCGACGAAGCAAACGAGAGATGCCCCGGTGTGCCGATCCTTTTGGTTGGATTGAAGAAAGACCTTCGTGAAGACCCATTGGCAATGGAAGAAATGCGCAAGAAGTCACTCAAGTTCGTAACGGCAAAAGAGGGCAGTGATATCGCAACGTCGATTGGAGCCCGCAAATATCTTGAATGCTCGTCCCTGACGGGAGAGGGTGTTGACGATGTATTCGAGGCAGCTACCCGTGCTGCATTGCTCACGTTTGACAAGCGCAAAACATCTTGCTGCGTGGTTATCTGATGATGCAATTTGGGATGTGCAAAATGCCGACTCTTTCTCTGCCAGCGTGCGGTTTTTCTGTTGACTTGGGAAGTTGATTGATACTTGGTGTCAACTATGAAGATATCAATCAACGCTCCGTTGTATCATGCATCACTGGTGTTTGGGAGGTTCTTGTGCTAACCCGGTCGATTGATCTGGGTACGATGTCTGCTTTCCGGCTATTTTCAGCCGTGCCTTTTCCCTTGCGGGTATTTTCTTACGTCTTTCCTTTTTGATCAATTGCGTCTTTGTGGCTGATACTTATGCACGTGCAACTCCGGATTCCCCTCCTTCTTATCATTCAATTTCCCGAAGTACATTGCGATCTCATTCATTGTTGTTCTCTTCTTTTCATGTAGTAATCCTGGTGCCTTTGCTTTCAGCGCTCATTTCTCATACATTGTGCTCTCCACCCCCTCAGGGTACCATATAATCAACTATCTCCTTTCGGTGCCTCATACGCTGTAAACATATATCCTATACTCCACATCCATACAAAGTCAGACCATATCGCACAGGCAAAAGCATATGTGCAACTGAAATAAAGTGTTATGGAGCTTGAAATGCAAACTAGTATATCGATATAAAAAAAAGAGAAATGCATATGTTACATAGCGCCAAAATGATACATATATCCTGGGCCTTCCAGTCCAATGAATCTTCAAACCAACATCAAATCCAACCAGACAACCTCTCCATCAAGTTCTCTATTTCTGACCAGGCTTCTTCCAATCATGGTTCCATCCATCAGAAGGAGGGGACTCAGTCTGCATACGAGCATACTCGATAGGGAACATATCAGTGAAGATACCCTTCTTGTTCATCGAGACACGGAACAGCTTTCCTCCATCGCCCGCACCAGTGCGCAGCTCCTCACACGCATCCTGCATGCTCTGGTACTGGCGCATCATCTCAAGTTCGTGCTTGCGGCGCTGCTGGGCCTGGAACAATTGCCAGGCACGGTGGATGGTCCAGTGGCGGAGGTAACGGTTGCGGGAGAAGCGGAGGGGACGGGGGGTGAGAGGGTGGTGGAGGAAGTAGCGGATCAGAGCTAAGTGGTTGGAAAGCGATTGTTAGTTTTTGGTTCGTTTTCTTTCTTTGGCCTTGGACATAAGACGTGTTTGGTTCGGTTGGCGGCAGGGCTCGGGGCTCGGGACGGGAGTAAGAGGGTTAGAGCTCGGCGTAGGGATATGCCACATACTAATGCGCTTGTCAACTACAGGGCCAGTGCTCTTTCTTGCGGCCATTGCGCTGGTCGTCGAGAATGGCGCTGATTGTAGGGCTGCTGTCACTGGACCGGGCTGTTGTGTTTGGCGGTTCAGGGTCTCGTGGCACACCCGGGAAATTGAGGGGCGGACCGGCGCCATTGACATGGGAATCTTGAAGACATTCGCGAGAGACGCGAGTGCTGGTGATAAGGACTTCATTGTGATGGTGGTCTGTTGGATGGTAGAAGTTGGAAGGGCTCGATGTAATTGAGGTCCACGGGGAATAATTCCTTGACGGCAGAATCTTGTCCGCCTGTTTAGCCGCGCGCTTGGTGATATTAACATTACCGCTGCATGCATCTTAGTTGCGACGCATTTATGTCTCATGTCGTTTGGAAAAGACAATTAATTTTATTACGAAATGGTAGGTTTTCAATATATTCAAGACAGAAATTTCTACGTCCCATGACTTGTCAATTAAGCCAGTGTTGAGGTAGGTACATATAGAAATTGATACACGACTTTTTGAGCAGAGATCATTGTTTTTTGTCGAATAGAGAGATGTAGAGGTATTCAGCAGTATCAAGAGTCATCAAAGGCATCATATGTGAAATTTCCCACCAAAGCCGTCAAAGAGAATGCCATAAACGCCATAGAATGCAGTCGACGCGCCGAAGATAAGGAGAGGAAAGTAGGTAGTGACTCAAATCGATTGAGAGGAGAAATGGTCTTTTCAAAGCTATCCAGTGGACCGCTTTGCGGCATGGTGTTTCTTAGCTCGATCGTAGTTCAAGACCTTGCGGCGACGGTGTGTTTGGGCCAGCTTCCACCGGCAATACAGGACCAGCGCATCCTTCAATAGAACAAACATGCACCCGCCAACAACACTACGACCCCAGCGGGTCTGAAGTAGCCCCAAGCGGCCACGGTCCATGACCGAGGATGTCCATGACTTAGGCAGAAGGTACTTCAACAGGCCACCCATCGTCGCTGAGACTGCTGGGAAGACGAGTGCTCCGAGTACGACATCAGCGAGATTGCTGGTGTCGGCAATGATCTCGTTCTGTCGTCGCCCAAGTCCTAGTGGGTTATTGTTTTGCCCAGCATCTTGTACTCCGTTAGGGCCGCCATCGGCATCTTCGCCCTGCCCGGCGGGAAGGGCATCAAGCTCCGGCTCGTCTCCATCGCCCATTCCCATTTGCAGCTCAAGGTCGATCTCCATCAAGATCTGTCCGTTCCCATTATCACCGAACCGGTTGAGACCCTCTGCCTGATCTTGCTGTTGCGCATCATCCAAGACTTCTTCCGCAGTGCGGGGTTGTACCTCGGCAATCCATTTCCGTTCCAGGCCACCGAATAACCGTTCGTAAAGCGCTCCGTAAAAGCTTTTGACGTATGGCAGCGCGGCAAACGTCATAGCCGGTGTTGGTGGCCACAAGTCGAAGTCGGGTTCCTGGCCCGGGTTATGTGCAGCGAAGAAAAGAACCGGAATGGCGGGAAGAAGGCCTTCGGCATACCGAGTGCGTGAGAATATTAAGACGAGCGGGATAAGCGGCAACCCGATATTCATCCCGGGATTCCATGGGCCTTCTATAGTCTCCTCCATGATCTGTTTGGCTTCCTCGGTTCCGAAAACGAGGTACATTGAATACACTCCATGCGCGCAGCACCCGGCCCATACAGTGCCAGCCACTGTGAACATCATGCCGGGGAGAACTAGTCGGCCTGCTACGCGCTCAAGTAGTCGTAGTATATCAACCACATAGCTCCGCGGGCGGGTGACCACGATTTCTGTCTTGCACTGAGGGCACATCATTGTTACGCCGCCACCGTTGCGTTTGCGCGACCGGGGATTTTCCATGTCGGCAAGCCAGTCAAGCAGACATGCCTCGTGGGCTGTTAAGGCACAAGGGCAAGGCGACCGCCATTCCAGATTCAGTGGCGAGTCCTCCGTTTCATCTGTATAGCAAATCCAGCACTTGCGCGGCTCGTCTTCATCCGAGATATGGGAGGGTTTCGATGATGGACTGAGTGATTTGCTGGAAATATCCGATCCGTGGCTCGGGGTTGATACGTTCTTATTCAAGAAAACGGTTTCAGTGTCCCCCATCGGCTCATCCTGAGGTGGGACGCTTTCTTGGGGGATGATGTTTTCATCAGAATTCGCGGATGTGGTGTCATCTAGCGATCTGGTTCTGCCTGTGGCAGAATATCCCGGGACGGACGCCATCGTAGTGGAGACAAGGTATGCAAGTCAGGGCCGATGAGAGGTGTAGAGAGATAGTGCGATGATTATCTAAATCGAGCTCGATAAGAGACAGAGAATGGGGTTCAGCATCTTCTGAATAGAGAGACGAACCGTATGAATGCCAACAAAGCAAACAAATGTCTTGAATTTTCCCCCAGAGCACAAGAAGAGAGGAGCTCCATTCCGCTAAGTGGAGGTTGGGGTCTCTCTTCAAGTTCGGCTGTGAGCCGCGGCTGTCAAAGGCGGTCACGTGATGGTAATCACGTCACATTGGCCATCGAGCTGAATCTGAGCTCAACCCGGAGATGGTAAATAATCGTCGGGCATCTACAACGTTTGGATGTGAATTGCTTCCGGATATGTTTTACATTCTATTTACCTGAGGTAGGATATACCACTGTGGAGTGTTTGCCCTTCAGGCATGCCTGAGAGATCAGGCTTTCATTTGATCTCGGCCCAGACAACTGGGTAGTAAGTATAGGAACAGTTCAATCATTGCCCTTGGTCCTCTTAGCTCTCCTCCTTCCAATGTTATAATAACCCTCCGCTTGCTTTGTGTCTTTGCGGTTGTCTAGTGTCTAGTGTTTTGAGGCCGTGTAGTTAGTGGGTCTGGTTTACAGAAGGGGAGTTCTGTCATGTCATTCACTATATAGTTATATCGGAGCCTGGACAATCTGAGCGTAATGCTCAGATATAATGGTCTTTTGGTAACTCGCCAGTCCAGGGGCAGGTTGTAACAAGTTCTACTTTGCTGGGCGCCGGATTGGACTCCGAAGGCATGTTGTAGTCTTGATACACATATTTATTTGTTGTATTGTCCCCTTTATGGCAAGCCATATATGTATTAGGTCGGTGATGTTGATGATATATCAATTTGTTTAACTACGGAATAATATAGTTGTCTACGTGGAAGGATATAAAAGATATCGGAATTTGAATCAAATAATAAATCAGTCATTAAAAACACAGAAAGGAATACCGATAGCGTGATCTGGCGATCTAGTGAGCAGGAGTGGGACATAGACGACATCATAGGAAAGCGAGGGGTAACCAATCCACACACCCAACTACTGTTCAGGGTGAGTGCTACCATCAGACTCCTTCTTGCCGTCAGCTGGCGCAGTCATATCTTCCAGGGCATCATCCAGTTTAACTGGAGTCGAGACAGATTCAGCCATCGCCGTGGCGACAGCTGCAGGTTCAGACGCAGGGTCAGACGCAGGTTCAAACGCAGGTTCAGAGGACTTTGCCACGTCCACGTCGTTTTTCTCCTCATTATCTGCTGATTTGGTTGCAACTAGGGACGACTTAGCCGGTTCCTTGAGCTCTGCTGGAGTCTGAACAGGCTGCATATCAGCTGTTGTGGCTCCGGGCGATGTCACATCCTCCGCAACGGGAGATTCAGGTGTTGGGTCTACAGATTCGCCGGCGGTGTTTTTGGCCAGTGGAGGGGCCATTGGGTGTTCGGCAGGCACGGATGGTTCTTTCACTGCAGCGGAAGGCTTCTCCCCTTCGTTTCCTGTCCCAACAACCAGGTTCCCATCCTGGCCGACTTGCCAAATATTCAAAGCCTCTGTGATCTTAACCTCTGGAATAGTGGGGAGCCTGGAAGTGGGTTTCTCGACGGCTGGCTTGCGTCGTGTTGGGCCGCGGGCTCTTCCCTTGCGAGCATCGCTCAGAGGCTGTTTCTCAACTGGCGCCTCGGGCTCCTTTTCCTGAGGCTTGGGCTGTTGTGGGCCAAGCTGCAGACGTGAGTTCAGATCTGTGAGGAAACCCGCCTTCATGGCTGCGATCTTGCTTCCACCCGGACGAACAGGGATTGCGGGCTTGGCCTTGACTGCAGGAGCCTCTCTCGGGGCTTCAGTAGTGCCTGCTGTGGCCTGGGAACCAGACTTAGCGGGACGGGTAGGGACCTGGGGCTTGGGTCTCTCTGGGATTGTTGGTGGCTGGCGCTTCTCGGTCGGTGAGATAGACTGAGTCTGTCTTTGCGGGCGCGGGGGAATTCCAGGCCTGGAAGGCACTTCCGGACTTTTCAGTTCCTCTTTTGCGGGTTCAATTCTGGTCACTAGCTGGTGACTATCGGGGGCATCTTCCCAAATATCTCTACTGGGGAAACGCTGTTTCAAAGTGTCTGGTCGCGGAGGGACCTTCTCCTTGGCGTTCTCACCTTCCAGGATGTGGGCAGCCACTTGATGAGAGTCAACTTTGGTGTTCTGCATCCTGCGTGTGGCTTCTTGCTCTGGTGTCTCGAAGATTTCGGAAGGGTCTCGCTTAGGCAGATCTGGAGTGGTAACGGTGGCATGAAGCTGCAAGCTGTTCGGAGTATCCTCCCAGATATCCTGGCTAGGGAATCTATGCTTCAGTGCGTCGGGCCTTTTCTTAAAACGATCCGCAGCTGACACGGCTTTTTCTTTCTTAGCATCCTCTTCAGGGAACAACGGCTCATACTCCTCCACGTCTTCAAGGGGTGTATGCGTATCCTCACGCGAGTCATAGCGAGCCAGCGCCGGGAATTGGCCTTGAGCGCTTGCTGATCGACTGTTGGAACGACTATGCGTGACACTAGGGGTTCGACTACGGCCATCATCCTCGTAGCTTGCCCGACGATCAAATGTCGGCGAGATGGCGGGATGTAAGTACGCCGACTCGGGGCCCACTTCATCGGCAGCTAAAATTGGCTCTTCTTCCTCCATGGCATTCTCATATGTCGGCTCATCATCCTCCAGGGCGGGGGTTGGGGCAAATCCGTCCGGGTGGTGCAAAGGATGCATCGGATCATCCACATGGATTACACCACCCTCATGATGTCCATGCGAACTGGCTCGGCGTTGACGCAACGGGCTGGCGGTGCTTTGCTTCTGCGTGGCTTCTGAGGGGAAACTCATTTGTCGAAGTGGCGACTCAACACTCGGCTGGCTTTCGAATCGAGCGTCAAGAGGGGGAGAAGCAATTTGATGTATGTACTCGTCGGACGCAATATACCCTACTTCTTCTTCAGGGGTGCCCACAACGGCTGGGGAAGCACCTGGCTACAATTAGCTTTCAGCCGACAACACAGTGGCTTCAAAATACTCACCAGGACCGGCACCGGTCTGGGCTGAGCTTCGAACAATCTTGTTCAGATCGTCGCTACTCATTGCCCAATCAGGGCGCGGAGTACCAACACCAGGGCCATATTGTCCTTCTTCCTTCACGAATTCATCGGGATGCTTTTCATACCAAGCCTTCTCAAACTTATCGGGATGCTGAACACCATGTCCGTGCAAACCGTAACTACCAGGGGGCAGGGAAGAGTCCCGAGCACTACGAGTGCGGTTGTGGTTACGACCCGACCTCTGCGAGCCTTGTTCGAGGTACGGGCTGGGGGATGGTGCCTGAACGTCACCAGCATGAGGATACATGGGCACGCGGAACCCCTGCTCCTCTCCGATATGAGCAGAGTGTCGGCGGTCATTGGATGCAGTTGAGGATTCGGCACGTGAGCCACTCGTTCGGGAATGTAATGAACGACTTGAGCGTTCTGGTTCCTCGCGAGCAGGTGAAACGCCACGGCCTAATCCTGCCGCAGCAGCCTGTCGGGAATCAGTGCGGGTGACAGCCTGGACCTTTGCTTCAGCACTTGATGTCGGCAACGAAGGTCTCGGTGCATGGATCTTAAGATCACTGCTAACATTGCGAGTCTCCGCAGGTGCCGGGTGGTGGTTATCCGACACGTTTCCTGGGTCAAGATCCGCATATTCAATACCCTCCTCACCGAGAGACGGTATCGTGACGCTTGGGGGACGTGGAGGCAGATCATTCGAAACGGTACGGCCCATACTAGGACCGGTCCATTCATTGAACGGCGAAGGTGCATAGCTATCACGCAAGGGCGAAACGGAACGATCGTTGCGGCGGTTGCCCGGGCGCGGGGGTATTTTGGGCATTTCTAACGACGAAGATGACGACGACGGTGGTTTGGGAGATCGAGCCGGTCGAGGAGGGATGGCCGGAGCAGCTTGGGTTGACATGATGAAGTTCTGGGAGCTGTTAACAGGTCAGCAGCAGCCCAACCGGATACCCCACGAATATGCTTGGCCCTGTGCGGGCTAAGCACCAATGGGTACACGGCCTCAAATCGATTTGCAGGGATTGGCGCAACTACTATGGATATGCATCAAATTGATGCAAGACTTTGAGGAGCAGACGGGCCAGCCCATGCAACTGATAAGGGCATACAGAATGATTTGCTTACCCAGATATGGTGAGGAACCAGTTTCAATCCAATTGGAACGACAGTCAAAGCGTGCAATCAAAACAGTCAAGAACTGCAAAGCAGATAATTGAAGCAATTCCGAAACTGAGTTTTGGGGAAGAGAGATGATGTATGCTCTTTCTGCCACGCCTGACGTGCTCTGACCGCAACAGATAGGCGTAACGTACTATTACTGTATCATTACAGGTCAGATAGGAGAGCCAACTACGACGAGCCATTGCATTCAACGCCCCGCCTATGAGATCAGCATACAACAAGGGCCTTGGTTTATCGATCTGAATGTTGAGGCATTTTTCTTCTTTATTCCTGAAAATGGCTCACTTTAGTGACCAAGATTGGTCTTGAAATAATGCCTCGTTTTCTATATCATTACAGTACGTTGTGCAGTTGGCCAGATCATCTCATCCGAGTATCAAAGGTATATTGTAGTATATTGTACAAGATATCTAAAAATATCGAGTTTCTCCCGAAGTCAGTATATTATACAGAGAAGTCTAGAACTTCCAAGTTATACAATCGGAGTGTTCTTTGACCTCTAACTAACTCGGGCATTTACCCTTCACCGCCTCGATCCGACCAACCAATCCAACTGCAAAGGTCAAAGTTCTCCGCATTGCATCATCGCCAACTATCTAACTATACAACCCTACTAACTATGTAGCTCCTAACATAATATCACAGGACATTCTTGATATATATATATATGTGTGTGTGTGTGTGTGTGTGT